CAGCGAGACCTCATCTCTACAATAAAATCACAAAATCAGCTGGGCGTGGTAGCGCATGCCTGTAATTCCGTCTACTTGGAAGGCTGAGGCGGAAGGATTGCTGGGTGACAGAGTGAGACTCCAACTCAAAATAAATAAACAAATAAATAAATAAATAAAAAGACCCCTCTGGCTGCAATTTGGAGAAAGAACTGAAAAGAGATGTCACTGGAAGCAGGAGATGTTTAATTTTGCAGGTTAGTGGCAGCAGTAGCTTGAACTAGGGTAGTAATCGTAAAGACAGACAGCAAAAGATGGGTTCAAGAAATAAGACCTGAGAGTGACAAGGTATTTAAGTAAACTGGAAATAACAAGAAAGCAAGAAAATAATTCGATTTGACACTCTACATGTAGCGTGCAGCCCCAAAGATTTGCTTACAATAAGTTCAAGAAGTCCTTTGCCTTTCAATCTTCCCAAACTGCCCTCCTCTTCTCTCTAGCTTCCCCTTACTCTTTGAGAGTGGTCCCCCACAAAGACTGATGAACCAGGGGCAGGGAAGCAAGTTGTTGCATCTCCTAGAAGAAACCCCTGACCTGAGGGTTTTAACAAGAAGTCCTCTTCCCAGCACCCACTTACCCTACGCCCCGAATCTGCAGCTGTGGCTGCATCCCAGCTTCCTTAGTCTTTACGGTCTGGTAGGTCACAATGGTGCACACGGTGCTGCCAGAGCCCATGTCATAGAACATGACATTCTGCAGAGACATCAAGGCAATTGTCACTGGAACCTTATCAAACTCCAAAGTGCCTACCTGCCTGCCTCCAAAGGACTGTTCGACTCTCAACGTAAAGCTGAACAACTCCAGTAGGGGTTGAGAGACAGCTGTTGCTGCATTTTGCCGAGGGCCAGCCATGCAAACAAGATGCACATGGGCCAGGTGGCCTTCATCCTCAGACTCAGTCACACTGCATGTCTGGTCAGGAGGTCTCCCTGGCTCACCTGGGCGGTGGTGTTGATATCTTTCCGGCGGAAGACACCGTAGCTGAGGGCAGTGGCAGTGTTGTCATTGATGAGTTGCAGCACTTTCAGGCCAGCCATGCGAGCAGCCTGCAGCACAGCTCGGCGCTCAGCCTGGTTGAAGAAGGCTGGTACGGTGATCACTGCATCCTTGATGGGCTGCTCTAAGAGGACAACAGAACAGGGTCCTGCCAGGTCCATACCTTACATGCGGGTTTCCAACCTAAGCACTATCGACATTTTGAGCCAGATCATTCTTCATTAGGGGAGACTGTCAGAGACTGTCCTGTGCATTATAGGATGCTTAGCATTATAAGTTGCCTGGTCTCAACCCACTAGATGCCAGTAGCAACTCCCCAGGTGTGACAACCCAATATGTCTTCAGAAATTGCCAAATGTTCCCTGGGAGACAAAACTGCCCCTGTTTGAGAATCACTGCCTTAGAGCTCAGGCAGCCTAGACGCTACTGGCCCCACCTTGGCTGCTCACCTGCAAAATCCTCAGCCAGGGAACGGGAGTAATTGAGAATCATGCCCAGCACCTCCTCAGGTGAGAACTTCAGCTGCCTGAGGGGAGGAAGAATAGTTGAAGGTAGGGAAAGCCAGGCGTTAAGGCAGGACAATCATGAATGCACGCCAGGTGAAGAGCCCAGCAAGGTTGCTGAGCCCACCTTCCCCATCAGAGCACTCACGGGCTGATCTGGAAGTACACAGTCTGGCGCTGTGGATCAAAGCTTAGCTCATGCTCTGGGAAACGGGACCGGTAAAGTGCCACATGGGGGTTATCTGCCTGCTTCCCCAGGAGGTGCTGGAAATAACGTAGTGTAGCCTTTGGATTCTTGATGGCCTGAGAAGTGAAGACAGAGGAGAGCATAAGGCTCCCAAACCCATCACAGTCCATCTTCCATCATAGAAACTGATAAAAAAAACTGACTCTGGGGTCTACCATCTCTTCTCCTCCTGCCCACCACTCTTGGAAGGGGCCTGCTAGCTTACCATGCCTGCTGCAGAGTCTCCAAAGAACCTTTCATTTTCTTTCAGGGTCACAGTTACTGGGGTTTTCCTCCGGGATTCCCTAGTGGAAAGAGACATTGGTCTCAGGTGCCCCCAGCAGAGTGTGGACTCAGGAGCCTTGACACTCCTATACAACTAATCATCCAGACACGAAAGTCTATTGGGAAACACTGGTGGGCACTATGAAGAACACACTCGCCTTATAGTGCAGACTCCCTCATTCCCACCCCTGATACCAGGACCACCCTCACTTGTTCAAGACAATTTCCATGGGCACTCCAGGTTTGACAATGGCCACCTTCATGGATTCACTACCCAGGTCCACAGACATCACTGCCAGAGTGTCTGAAGGGAAAAAGAGTTGTCAGTGGTCCTTCTTTCTGATATTGCAAAAGACAAAAAAGCATGAGCCCAGCAACCCAAGAGTCCAGGGGCCTCGTGCCCCACTCATTCTTTTAATTCCTCTGCTGGGGTACATACCACTTAGGGCCAACAGGTCTGCCAAGAGCACAGTCATCAAGGCCCAGCAAGCTAGCCTCCTCAGCCTCCGCCTCCTGACTGTGTCTGCCATTGTGCTCCTGGGGGAGGAGAAAAAAAACACTTGTAACTGGATGCCCTGAGAGAAGGAGACAGAACCGCATCCCTGAATGGAGAAGCTGCAAGGTTCATTCTTACTCCATTCTCACCCAAGGCAGAACAGCCTACGTCTCCTCCCCGCCCTCCTGATGAGTACCAACCACTTTCTAATCACCCTCAGAAGTGCCCACAAAGGCCCAAACGAAATAGTATGGATCCTCGGCTCCACCACATCCCTAAACAGAGAAGGTAACAGGATAGGAAGAAGGAGACTAGAGCCTTCCATCCGCTGCACAGGCAGTAAGTGGCGCACAGTAGCACTGTACCTGCTGTCAGACACCTGGGGGGCGGCCAGGGGTCCCCGCTCAGGGCTCAGCTACCTCCCCACACCTGGAGCGCCCCGGCTGGCGGGGAAAGCCAGGCTGGGCCTGGACGGGAACTAGGAGGTGGTGACGTTAGGGGTGGCTGGGATGGGAGAAGGGCCTGTCTCCTCCTCGGCATCCCTGCGGGTGGTCCCGCCCACTCCCCGGCCCCGCTGTCCACAGAGATGTCGTGCCAGGAGCAGTAAGGTTCTTCGCCGGAAGGGTATCGGATACCCGGTGTTCACTTAAGCCTCACCTGAGGAAGGCGGCGGCTCCCACTCCCGGAAACGGATCCTGGCCCACCCCGAGAGCTTAGGGGCAGCTCCGGCGCCGAG